CCCCCCTCCCTCTCTCTCTCTCTCTCTCTCTCTCTCTCTCTGTCTCTACTATCCTCTCAACTCCACTCCCCATGCTCTAAATAAACTCTATTCTGTATTATACCATCCTGTGGCTGGAACCTCATAGAGATAGATGCCTCAGCATGCACCCCACCCCGAATTCTCCCACACACTACCACGCCTCCACCAAACATATTCCTTCCTTCTCTATCTTATTATAAAACACAACAAAACTGTCGTTTTCCCCTGCTTTTGTGAGCTGAAAAAATTTTAAATGCTTAGTTACTCTAGGTGCCTAAAGTCATGCTTTTACTTTTCTCAAGCTCAGAATGATGTCTTTAAATGTTTAGAATACTTTACATTAAGATACAAAATCTTGATTTGCTTGTTCTCTGCCCTAGAGTCTATTTAGCACAGATGTATTTTGGCCCAATTAAATATGGCAGTCCTTGGAAATAAGGTGTTCATTTTTCTCCTCCTTTCCAGGATGTTCTTCAGCAAGAATGCATCTGTCCTGGGATCTCTCACTGTTTTGGTTGCTCTTTGCCTGTTCTCTTGTTAGTTATAGAGCAACATTGGACCCCTCTCTTAAGTAGAAACTCAAGCAAGCATAGCCATGCTCTTATTAGCCACTACTGTTCCTAACACTATACACGGAGGTGCTGCTGCTTAAGTATATCTAGAACATCATATAAATTGTCAATAAGTAAATGCCTTTAAAAGCATTGTTTATAAGCCTTAAATTGCTATTGAATTTAAGATACTGTTCTGCAGTAAGAAGTATAACTCAGGTAGTAAGGCTTGCTTTAGACACCCACGCACAAACACACACATTTTATTTGTGTTTCATGTACATGCGTATTTTGCTTGCATGTATCTCTATTTACCATGTGCATGTCTGATGCTTAAAGATGTTAAAAGAAATTAGATCCACTGAAACTGAAGTTACAGATAGTTGTGAAGTTCCATGTGGGTGATGTGACTCAAACCTGGGCCCTCTGGATGAGTAGTGATTGTTCTTAACCACTAAGCTCTCTCTTCAGTCCTTGTTTCAGACTTTTAAATCTGACTATAAGGATAAACTATTTGTTATGTTTTTAATAAACAGTGCTCTTTCACTTCTTTTTCTTTTGTGAACTTATTTCTAGGTCAGCCATTTAAACTGGATCCCAAATCTGCTCATCGAAAACTGAAGGTGTCTCATGACAACCTGACTGTGGAACGTGATGAGTCATCATCCAAGAAGAGTCACACACCTGAACGCTTCACTAGCCAAGGGAGCTATGGAGTGGCCGGAAATGTGTTCATTGATAGTGGCCGTCATTACTGGGAAGTGGTCATAAGTGGAAGCACATGGTAGGCAGCTTCTGTATATTTTCCTGCAACTGTAAAAAGGCACATGCTACTGTGTACCTTGTCAAGGATACAAATTCATAACCAGCATCCATTCTGAAGAGCCAAACCTACCTCTACCATAATGCTACATAACACTAAAATCAGTGTGACTTCAATAGCAATCATTTATTAATGCTAGCAAACATATATTTGTTGGTTAGCTGATAAGGATTAATTTCAACTGGGTTTACACTTTAAGCTACAGGTTGGGTCTATTTCTGTCCTATGTGTATGTTCCTAACATTGCAGAAATCTAACATGGTAGTATAGGCCTGTAATCTCAAACTGGAGTTTAAGGTCATTCTCAGGTATATAGTGAGTTCAAGGCCAAAAGAAAATATGTGGATAATGTCATTCTCCTTTTATAGATGAGGTAACTTAGACGTGGGCCCAAAGTCATAAAATTCATAGTTGGTAGTTACAAATTTTGTGGTCAGAGCTCTAACTTTTAACTAGGAACACACAAATAAAGGACAAGAAAGTTAATGTCTTGATTTTACAGGCCAGGACATTTTTGTTCCAAGTACTCAGCCCGAGGCTGTTGTAATAGGACTGCAGCCACAGACAATGCATATATAAATGGGTATGGGTGAATGCTCGTAGAATTTCATTTGTGAAAACAGGTAAGGGACAAGAGTTGACCACTGGATTGTAGTTTGTTGATCTGTGCTTTTAACTCCCATAGTATGTCATTACTCACTAAAGAGTGATATAGTTTTCAAATGTTATATTCTTTAGAGCATAAAGTAGTGTACTTTGAGATATGACTGACATGAAAGTGAGAAGAGAAGTTATAAAGAAGGAGGAAGATGAGAGTGGTCACAGTGGCTAAAATTTTACTAAAAAGAAATTTAAATTTGAATTTATGCAAATAATGCAATGTGTACAAAGTGCACATAGCTGGATACCAATCAACCCAAATCTAAGAAGTAAGCTTGCATTGAGTGGCTATCCTGACTCTCTTGATAATAGTATCTTCATTAGCCTAGCAGATAATTTTTCATCCTTTATTGGCCTCCTAATTCTCTTTACCTAGACAATTTTCATGCTCTAACAGTCTGTCAAGAGTGCAGAGAACAAGACCTACTTCTTCCAAGGCTATAGAATTCACTGACACTTGAAATGTGAGTGTGAGCCTTTATGTGTATACGTATAGAGGCCAGCTGCTTTCTAAATTTCTCTCCACCTTATTTTTTTTTGAAACACAGTCTCTCACTGAATGTGGACTTTAAGCATTCAGTTAGATTGGCTGGCCACCAGGGATTCCTTTGTCTCTATTTCCCAAGTGCTGAGATTATAGGCACATACCACCACAATTAGCTATTTTCTCCTTTGCTCTTTTCAAAATTTTAATTAAAGTACAATTGCTTAATTCCTTCCTCAATATTCTCCTTTCTACATCTTCCATGTCTGCCACCTTTCTCCCATATTCAAGAGACCTCTTCATTTTTGACTAATTTAAGCCATTGCGGTTATATATACATATGCATAAATATATGTATATAAATATAGCCTGCTGAGTCTGTTCAGTGTTGCTACCTGTATGTTTCTAGGGCTGACAATTTGGCATTAAATGACCAATCAGGTGGCTCATCCATGGGGAAGATTTGTTTTTCCTCTTCCAGAAGTTAATTTTACATATAGCTTTTCATTTATGTGTGCGGCCCCATGAGATTTTCCCCATGTGTGCTGTGATGTTTATTCATATTGAAACTGTGCAGTCCTGTTGAAATTTTGAGTATAGCTTCACTGTCATACCTAGCTCTTTACATCGAATCTGGACAATCAAGCTTCAGGTCTCTGAACCAAATCAACTATTTCCCCGGAATGGCACTTGAAACTTGTTGCTGTTTCAGGGCAAGATAAAAGCACAAAGGGAAATAGAATTCATGTGCAGAAAAGAAAACATTTCCAGATAATTGGTGTGCTGTATTAATCTGATATTTTGAAATCTGGTGTCTAAATGATTATAATCTCATTAATAATTATTTGTAATAAATGATACATGATCGTTATGATCTCATTGCCATTAAAGAATAGTGTGGAAAATTCTCCCAGACCACTTTAGTTACATAAACACAGATCAGCATTACCTTTAAAACACCCTCCAGATGTCCAAACTAACTCATGTGTGGAAAAAAGAAAATCTATAATTAATTGCCATACATTGAGTCTTTACATATAAACCGGATTGTATCCATTAAAAATATATATATTATGTAAAATGTAGTTTTACATTTCATAGAAGATAACAGCAAAAATGAGTAGGTCCCTTATAATTAAATGCCTGTGATACCTTGACTTACAACAGTTAGTATCACATGTTATTTTTCATGAAATATGTGCTTGACTTTTAATTAACATGTACATCATGATGCATGTTATAGGGCATTCTAACATTACTCTGAGAAACACAGTTTGTGTACTTTTTAATTTTTCCATGTCACACTGTGTAACTTAATGGAAAATTACATGCTGCCTGCACCTTTCAAGCTCAATGAACATATATATATATAATTATATATATATATATGTACATATAAATTTATATATATATCTATATATATTGTATAATAAATATGATAATAT